CAAAAAAAGCCAATGCAGTCCTAGGCTGCCTTAACAGAGAGGTAGACTCAAGATCACATGAAGTTTAATACCGCTTTATAATACCTTGGTAAGACCACATTAGGAATACTGCATCCAGTTTTGGTCACCACAATGTAAAAAGTTGTTGAGACTCTAGAAAGAGTACAGAGAAGAGCAACAAACATGATTAGGCTAAAAGATATGAAGAACAGTTGCAGGAATTGGGTATGGCTAGTTTAATGAAAAGAAAGACGAGGGGTAACATGATAGCAGTGTTCCAATATCTAAGGGGCTGCCACAAGGAAGAGGGGGTCAATCTATTCTCCAAACAACCTGAAGGTAGAACAAAAACCAATGGATGGAAATTAATCAGGGAAAGAAGCAACCTAGAATTAAGGTGACATTTTCTGACAATTAGAACAATTAATTAGTGGAACGACTTGCTTCCAGAAGTTGTGGTTGCTCCAGCACTGGAAGTTTTAAGAAGAGATTGGACGGAAGGGATTTGTCTGAAATGATATAGGATTTCTTGCCTGAGCAGGGGGTTGGACTGGAAGACCTCAAAGGTCCCTTTCAACTCTGTTGTTGTTGTTGATGATAATGATGTTATTCATAAATCAGCATCTATTTATCCTTTTCTTTAATAGTGATAGAATATAGTGATAGAATATAACTATAGTAGTCATTGATCTATTTTCCATGACTGTAAAAGTTAGAAAGATATTTGTCTCCTGCACACACATGCAGCACATGTACAAGCAAATGAACTCTTTAGAGATTCTAGGAAAAAGAGAATTAATCTACACAGTTTGAAATATTTCATCTCAATTGCAACATATGTGATATTATTCAAATACTGTCTCCACATAAAAAGTGAGATCTAACCCCGAAAAGGGCAGCTGACATTCGAAGAAAGAAAATAGGAGCAATTTACAGTTAATGTTTTAGCCAGACGTCCTCCGAAAGCAAAATGACTGGAATGGGACCAGAATTGAGGGCCAGATGGTGCTGATGCAACAGCATGGTTCTATATTTAATTGCTCCTGCTGTAGAAAAAGCTGAACAAGATAACTGAAATGAAAGGTAAAGAATCACAGCTACTAGCTGCTCAGTTGCAGTTTTGTTTCATTTCTGAGATAAGATAGAAGGAAAGATGATCTACATTACAGTATATCACAGTCAAAACTCCATTAGTGTCCTGTATTTAGACAGAGTGGGTTTAATGTTTAAGGTTTTGTGTATATTTTGAACTTTTACATTTCAGGTATCTGCTGGTTGCCAAAAGAAATTGTTCACCAGACTAACAGGTTTCCTGTGATTCCCAAATCCCAGGGTCCAAATGACAAATCAGATTTGAATAATCTGGGTGGATGCCTCTAATGTTAAGCTCAGCATTTGTGGATAGAAAGACACATTTTCTTTCCTTTAAAGTTAAATGTTCCTTTTGAGGATACACATTTTAGAATTATCTTATATTATTGCCATGTTATGATGGAAGGAGCTACAGTAAATACACTGCTCAAAAAAATAAAGGGAACACAAGCAGAAGACATCCGAGATCTGAATGAATGAAATAGCCTTATTAAATACTTTGTTCGTTACATACAGTAGTTTTGTGTTCCCTTTAGGTGTTTGAGCAGTGTATAAACTGCTGTATGTAAAGAACAAAGTATTTAATAAGGCTATTTCATTCATTCAGATCTCGGATGTCTTCTGCTTGTGTTCCCTTTATTTTTTTGAGCAGTATATAAATATGGGTAGGTAGGTAGGTAGATGATAGATGGATAGATAGATGATAGATAGATAGATAGATAGATAGATAGATAGATAGATAGATGATAGATAGATAGATAGATAGATAGATAGATAGATAGATAGATGGTTTTTCATGTACTGTCATGTCCAATTCTCAGAGGCTACCTGGACAAGTCCCTGCAGTTTTCTTGGCATAGTTTTTCAGAAGTAGTTTGCCATTGCCTCTTTCCTAGGGCTCAGATAAAGGGACTGGCTCAAGGTCAATGTTTACAGAGAACCTGGGAAAATTTAAATTACTGAAAATGGTTGCTTTGACTTCATTGCTTCAATAGTTCTAGTAATACAAGTAAGGATTTGATTAATTAAATAAGAGGAAAGAACTTTTTGCATTTTTTAAAAACAGTTGAACAATTAAAACAATAAGACATGTATTGGGTATTCAAAGGATTAATCCTATGAGGCACATTTTATCATTTGTCCCTCCTACAGAGTATCCACACAGAGAAAGTGACTTATATAACTAAATTATAAAGAAGTTAATAAATAGGCTATCAAATACATAGTTAATTCAAACACCAGTAAATTAGTTCACTTGGAATTGTGCTCTGATACAAACCCCATTTATTTCAGCAAGACCAGAGATGTAAATATTGTAACTTTGTAGACTGTCTTGAGACCAAGGCTTGGTTGAATCTTGCTGGGTGATGAAATCTTCCCAGGTGCCATGTGGTGAGATGAGTAAAGGGCTAATCCTATTATGTCCTGAGAGTGAAGGTCTTTTGTTTTGTAGATAAGCTGGCTAGCCTTTTGTCTTATAGATAGGTTGGCACCAAAATATTTGCTGGGAGGGAGCAGGGAGCTGAGGCTCTGAGTTTATGTCTTAAGAAACATGTTTCTCCTTTAGGGAAAATATAACATTCTGCCTTTTTAATATTTCCTAGAATATTTCATTCTTCTAGGAGAAGGGTGGGTGACAACTTTCTACACTTCTACACGACATTTCTTAGGGAATGAAATTCTAGTCTACAGTCTTGCACAGTTTTATCATAAAGATTGTCAAGAAAAAAAAGAGGGAGGAAAACTTACACTGAATGAACTGAAATCTGTTTGCTTAATGCCTCTCGGGCATTTATTCCATGAACTAAGCTACAACTGTAAACTGTAAGTCTTAGCCAAATTAGGGGACTGAAGACTAAAACATATGAAGAACGGCTGCAGAAACTGGGTTATGTCTAGCTTAATGAAAAGAAGGACTAGGAGAGACATGATAGCAGTATTCCAATATCTCAGGGACTGCCACAAAGAAGAGGGAGTCAAGCTATTCTCCAAAGCACCTGAGGGTAGGACAAGAAGCAATGGAAGGAAACTAATCAAGGAGAGAAGCAATTTAGAACTAAGGAGAAATTTCCTGACAGTTAGTGGATTAATCAGTGGAACAACTTGCCTCCAGAAGTTGTGAATGCTCCAACACTGGAAGTTTTTAAGAAGATGTTGGATGACCATTTATCTGAAGTGGTGTAGGGTTTCCTGCCTAAGCAGGGGGTTGGACTAGAAGACCTCCAAGGTCCCTTCCAACTCTGTTATTCTATTCTATTCCTCAAATCACATTTTCTTTAAAATAGCTTTACTGTAAGAATTAGTTATTTTTTCTATTCAGAGACATGCAAAAGTATCCTGTATGTTACACTTTATTAAAACTAACATGAACAGACCAAAGTGGTCTTTTGCTTTCCCCATTTTTTCCTATCTCTATTTTCTTTGATTTCCTGTTCTGATATTCAAAAACTATTAAAACAGATCCCCTTTCCCCCATTCAAATACTTATTTTCTATGATGAACATTTTTGACATTTTTGAGAAATGAACTCGTAGATTCATTAAGCAGCTCTTTTAAGTTCCACCCCTGTGTGATTTGTACAGTAATGTCATTCCATTATATATTGCAGTGAATTAATATGAAAGCTACTCGGAAATTATTGTTTATTGATTAGGGTATGTCAGTTGCCTACATTTTCTATTAACTTTATGTAAATCACTTGTAGGCAGAGAAGATTAAAACAATTACAATTGAATTATAAACCCTATTTGAAATCCTTATGAAATCCTCATTAAAAATATATGAGCAGAATTGTCTTTTTCATTAAGACAGGTGTAAAGGTTAGCTAATTTAATCCTGGCAGTAAATAAATTTCAACTTATATTTTAAAATGCTTTGTTTAACTAACAATCTAATATATTCTTTTTTTGGAATCATAAATCAAATGTACTATAAATATTGGTCAGTATGAAATATACATTACGAATGTTCTTTTCACTTCACCAGAGAAATATAACATCATTTATAACAGTATTTTTAATTAACCAATGTGTATGCATATTTATCTTTTTATTCTACAAAGCTATTACTGATAATTACTTCACTTCCACTGACTAGTTGTTCCAAAATACAATACCAAGCAGAATTATTGGTTTACTGAATTTCTGTCCATGATCAACCATAGTTATACTGGATCATTAAAAAAAAAACAACCCAAAAAGAATATAAATATATATTAAGAGGTTGTTTTTTGTTTTTTTTTTACTTAAACAAGATTCTTTCAATATAGACTTTTTCACTGATTTCAAGATTCTGTTATTAGTGACTGAAAAGTCATTGGATTGATAAAAAAAAATATGTAAACACTGTCAAATGAAGTTTTCATACTGGAACATTTCACAACACAGTTGGTCTGCTAATCAAAGAGGTAGAAAGGTTAATGCAAAAGCTTGCAGGACTAAAACTTGCATTTATTACACAGAAAGAAAGATTTAACTCCTTGTATCTTAACCAAATTATATTTTTTTAAAAAAGAGTTTACTTGTTTCTTAGACTGTAGTTAGAATGGAATCTGCTTAATATAGTTTTAGCAGTGGAAGTTATCACAAAAATCAGGCCTCAAGAAATGTTATCTATATTCTCCAATCTGTGAACTTGACTTTGTTCTGTATTATCCTTGTGTCCATAGGTGTATGCACAGGAGAATGGAAAACATGCTAGAATAAATTATTGTTCTTTAGCATGTGACATTCTCCTAAATTAACTGAGTGTCACAAGTGGGTTGGTTGAACTTCAGTTTAAATGAAGCCTTGGATACAGGAAAATTTGGTGTTAGACAAGCCATACATTTTATTTATGTGAGCAATAGCAACAGATAAACAAAATACAATGCTGATTATTTCATTGATGATGCCTGATTATAATTTCAGATAAACCTACAACGAAAAATGAGAATCACTGGAGTTATCACACAAGGTGCCAAGAGAATTGGAAGCCCAGAATACATTAAATCATACAAAATTGCATATAGCAATGACGGTAAATTATGGAGCACATACAAAGTGAAAGGCACCTTTGAAGATATGGTAAGTCAGCTTCATAAATATAAAAGTAATATTTTATATAATATAAATATATTATTTTAAATCTATGCCTTTCCATAGCATAACGTACATAAAAGTAAGCTTACAGAGTGTCTATGGAGATTCTCAGTCATCCAAGTCATGGTTGTCCCAAAGCGAAATGTCTTCAAAGAAAAACCAAAAAGTCCAGTTGCATCTTGAAAAAGCACCTTTGGGATAAGGTTACAGAGACATTTCTGCCTTCAGATTTTATTCTGTGATAAACTGCAATTTAATGTTTTTTTTATATATTTATTTGGACTTTCATTTAATTGTTATTCAATTTGAATATCACCTGACTCTGACTGTGGGCAGCTCACAATATATTATTATAATTATCCAGTACAAACAACAACTAATGGGATCTAGTCAGTGTATCCAGAGAGAAACAAAAATAACAAAATCAGACCCAAACAGGAACCTATCCATCTCAACCCAAGATCTGAGAGCACAATCAGGTCTCCAAGACTTTGTAGAATGCCCATAGGGCTATTGGAGAAAAATCTGTAAGATTTTTGCTTCATCCCATGTGTAACTTACAAGATTTTTCTTCCTTCTCAAGATGAGAAGGCATGATATTAATTTATTAATAGTAATAATTAATAATTACTCTTTCTTATATTGTATATGTCCCTCAGTTTGCAAGGTCAGGTCAAGCACCCACAGACCAGAGGTGGGTTTCAGTAGGTTCTGACCAGTTCTGGAGAACCGGTAGCGGAAATTTTGAGTAGTTTGGAGTACCGGTAGTAAAAATTCCGACTGGCCCCACCCCCATCTATTCTCTGCCTCCAAAGTCCAGATGATCAGGAGGAAATTGGGATTTTGCAGTATCCTTCCCCTGGGTTGGGGAGGGAATGGAGATTTTACAGCATCCTTCCCCTGCCACACCTACCAAGCCATATCCACCAAGCCATGTCACACCCACAGCCACAGCCACACCCACACCACAAATAGTAAAAAAAATTGAAACCCACCACTCCACAGATATGTTCAGCCATATTCGTTGGGCAATACCAGGAAACAGGGTATATTTATAATCAAGTAATAAGGAAATAAATGTTAAAAGTGATTGGATACAAATTTATTTATTTATTTATTTGTCGCATTTCTTTGCCACCCATCTCCCTGGGGACTCTGGGCGGCTTACAACAAAAAATAATGCGAACAATATACCATAAAAGTTGTTTTAAAAAAACATTAAAAACCCATACACTCCATTCATGGCCGGGTCTTGCAAGATTGCAGCAGCGATATCAACGGCCCCAGGCCTGCCGGAAAAGCCAGGTCTTCACCGCTTTCCGGAAGGCCAATAGGGTGGGGGCAATCCAGACCTCAGGAGGTAATTGGTTCCAGAGAGCCGGGGCAGCCACAGAGAAGGCCCTCCCCCATGGGCCCGCCAGCCGACATTGTTTAGCTGACGGGACCCGGAGAAGACCAACTCTGTGAGGTCTTACCAGTCGTTGGGAGCTATGTGGTAGAAGGCAGTCTCGAAGATAGCCTGGCCCTAAGCCATATAGGGCTTTAAAGGTAATAACCAACACCTTGAATTGTGTCCGGAGACACACACTGATAGGGAGCCAGTGCAGCTCGTGGAGAATTGATGTAATGTGGGTGTATCTAGGTGCACCCACAATAGCTTGCATGGCTACATTCTGGACCAACTGTAGTCTCCGAACACTTTTCAAGGGTAGCCCCATGTAGAGTGTGTTGCAATAACCCAACCGTGAGGTGACAAGGGCATGAGTGACTGTGAGGAGAGCCTCCTGATCTAAGTAGGGTCACAGTTGGTGCACCAGGCAAACCTGTGCAAAAGTCCCCCTAGCCACAGCTGTTAGATGTTGCTCTAATCTTAGCTGTGAGTCTAGAAGGACACCCAGATTGCGAGCCTGTTCTGAGGGGGACAATTTCTCCCTCCCCCCAGGACCAAGGATGGACAATCAACATAGTCTTTAGGAGGCAATACCCACAGCCATTCGGTCTTGTCTGGGTTAAGTCTGAGCCTGTTGACTCTCATCCAGACCCTCACAGCCTCCAGGCACTGGCACATCACATCCACTGCATCACTGAACTGACGCGGGGTGGAGATATACAGCTGGGTGTCATCAGCATATTGCTGATATCCCACCCCGTATCGTCGGATATTTCACCCAGCGGTTTCATGTAGATGTTAAATAGGAGGGCAGAGAGGACCGAGCCCTGAGGCACCCCGCAAACGAGGGGCCTAGGGGTCGACCTCTGTCCTCCTACCAACACCGACTATGAGCGACCAGAGAGATAGGAGGAGAACCACCGTAACATGGTGCCTCCCACTCCCAACTCCCTTAGTCGTCCCAGAAGGATACCATGGTCAATGATATCGAAAGCTGCTGAGAAGTCAAGTAGCACCAAGATAGAAGAATGACCCCCATCTCGGGCTTGCCAGAGATCATCCATCAATATGACCAAGGCAGTTTCTGTGCTGTATCCAGGCCTGAAGCCAGACTGAAAAGGGTCTAGATAATCTGTTTCATCCAATGACCGCAGGAACTGAAGTGCTACCACTTTCTCTACAACCTTTCCTACGAAGGGTAGGTTGGAGACTGGCCAAAAGTTCTTTAATTCTGCTGGATCCAGGGAAGGCTTCTTGAGGAGGGGCCTTACAACCACCTCCTTTAATGGTTGCGGGAAGGACCCCTCCCTTAAGGACGCATTAACTAAAGCCTGGAGCCAGCCTCGTGTCACCTCCCTGCTCGCCGAAACCAGCCAGGAGGGGCACGGGTCCAACAAACAGGTGGAGGAACTCATCGCACCTACAGTCTTGTCCACTTCCTCAGGAGTTCCCTTGGCTCAAACTTGTCCCACACAATAGGACTAAGGCCCGCCCCCGTCATCTCTGTCAGTATTGCCCAATCAGAGTCCAGGTCTATCTGAATCTGAGTGACTTTATCTGACAGAAACTGCACAAACTCCTCAGCTCTACCCTGCAAGGGCTCCTACACTCCCTGTACATAAAGGAGGGAGTGAGTCACTCTAAATAGGGTGGCTGGGTGAGAATCTGCGGATGCAATAAGTGTGGAAAAATGCGAGCATTTTGCCACCAGTATCGCCACTAAATAAGTCCTAATAAAGACTCTCAAGAGTGTTCGGTCAGATTCAGATTTACTAGTCCTCCAGCGTCGCTCTATATCTCTCTTCTGGCGCTTCATCTCCTGGAGCTCCTCGGTAAACCAGGGAGCTTTCCTAGATCCACTGCCAATTATAAAAACATGACGTTTTAAAATAAATTCAAGTTGCTATTTTGTACCTGCTAGATGTTAAACCACAGCTCCAGCTACTTCTGGTTGCCTGATTAATTTCTTCTTGAAGTACATATTTATACTACATAAACTTTTTATCAGGTTCACCTGATCTCCCAGTTGCATCCCTTTCTGGATCAGGACGCCCTGCACACAGTCACCCACGCCCTCGTCACTTCCCGTCTGGACTATTGTAATGCTCTTTACATGGGGCTCCCCTTGAAGAGCACCCGGAGGCTCCAGCTGGTCCAGAATGTGGCCGCGTGAGTAATAATGGGGGCGACTCGTCACTCCCATGTAACACCCATCTTGTGTGAGCTGCATTGGTTCCCGGGGGTCTTCCAGGTGCGCTTCAAGGTGTTGGTTACCACCTTTAAAGCGCTCCATGGCTTAGGACCTGGTTATCTACAGGACCGCATTCTGCCACCGATTGCCTTCCAGCGACCAATACGCTTCCACAGAGAGGGCCCCCTCAGGGTGCTATCAGCCAAACAGTGTAGGCTGGCGACCCCCAGGGGGAGAGCCTTCTCTGTGGGGGCCCCGGTCCTATGGAATGAACTGCCCCCGGACATACGAAGATCCCCGACCTCCGTGCCTTCCATCGCGCTCTGAAGACCCTATTATTCCAGCAAGCTGGTCTGACAGGATAAAGGTTTTTTAAATTGGGTTTTGATAGGGGTTTGAAAATGATTTTAGTTGGATATTTTAAATTTGGCCAAATGATTGAATTATTTTAATAAGTTTTTAACTTTTGTTGTATATTTTTTTACCATGGCTGTTCACCGCCCTGAGTCCCTCGGGAGAAGGGAGATATATAAATATAATAAACTAACTAACTAACTAACTATTTTTATGTATATACCTTTGCCAAACTCTTCTGTAAAACTTAGCGATGTTCAAATGGCTCAAATATTTCTACAGGAACTAATAGATATCAGGGCCATTCCCCTTATAAATTCATAGTGCTGTAGCAATTCTGTCTTAATTGTGTTGACAAATGGTTAATCCTTGAAAATAAAGAATATATTTAAACACACTGAATAAACTCATTGTAAAAGTAAGAATGCATTTTAAAATGTAATTTGACCTATATGAAGTATACTCAATTGTATTTCACTCTTAAGAGCAAGAGAGGAATACAGTGTCATCCATTCCTGTCCTGAAGCAAGTACAGAGAACAGTATATTAAAAAATATTATTAAACACAAGGGTATTTGAAGGTAGAAATTGCAACTATACACAGGGTCAAACTATATAGTTTGTTTTAAAACTATTGTCACAAAACAGATTCTATAATCCAGCAATTAATTAAAAAATTCAAACAGGTAGACTTTAAGTTCATTTCACTTGGTAAAAGGTAATTTAGACAGGCACAACAACCTTCTTAGATAGCCAAGACTTGAAACATGCATAGAGGCATACAAGTAGGGTAGGATACAGGAAGTAGAAAAACAGATATTCCAGCCCTTCCCTGTATTACCACATATATTTTTTATAGAACACTGACACCTACTGGCTGTTCTTTGACATGGCTTTTGCTGGCTGTTCTACCATATTTATTTATTTATTTATTTATTTATTTATTTATTTATTTATTTATTTATTTATTTATTTATTTATTTATTAAATTTGTATACCACCCTTCTCCCGAAGGACTCAGGGTGGTGAACAGCCAAGATTAAAATACATACAATATAAAAATTAAAATAAGTTAAAACAGAATTAAATCAGTTTGGCTTCCCCAATTTTAAAACCCTTTACCCATAAAATAACCCATTAAAATTTTAAGCCAGCCCGGCTTGCTGAAATAAGAAGGTCTTCAATGGCTGTTGCAATGGGATGTGGGTCCAAAACTCTTATCCAGTGATTGTGTAGAAGATAATAAGCATCCATTTGGCATCTAAATAGTGTTTTTCTTAATAAAACATAATGTAGATAGGTATATCAAGCCTAGTGAAGGCAAAGCTCAACGTACATGCATGTACAAACATGGAGGAAAAGTATAGTTACAGTAAGAAATAGTGATCTATCTTTTCCCAAAAACTTCCTATATATTTCTAGTATGGCAATGAGACTAGATGATATTAGTGGTTGATACTGCCTGCTCCTACACTTAACAAATATTATTGGGAGACATAGTCTGGTAAACTAGTATGAGAATAATGTAGAGAGCTCTTTGATGGGAGACAAGTGAAGGACAGTGTCAGTTTTGGAAGCCATATTAGGCCGGAAGCTTCCATGCTGCCACCTTCTCATGTGTGGGAAAGTAGGAGGGGGGATTTAGTAGAGGGGTTGTCTGTAGACATAATAGCATTCTTCCTGTCGGTCAAGGTCAGGGCGATCCTGTATCTGGAGAAGGAGTGGTCAGAGTGATTTCTCAAGATGGGATGGCGGTTGATTGGAGCATGTGATCGACTGAGGAGAGAGGGGATGGTTTGGGGGTTTTTAATTTACTGAGGAAAAACCCGGACCTCTCAGATTTGGGTTTTCCCAGATGTGCCAGTTTACCTATTCTAGTAAATAGAACTTTGAAAATGCTTGCTTCAGAGTCTTTACTTGGAGCTGGGGGGTTTTCTGGAATGCTGACAGACAGTGTTGAAAGCATTCTAATATTTATACTGTAGTTCTAATCAAGAATATACGTCTTTTGGTTGCTAACCATTTTTAACATATAGTTTATTATTAAACATTGTCAAATTAAGTAATGGTACTTTTACTGAATATAATTTTCATTGGTAGGTATTAATCAAAATAGTTGGATACAAGAATAATAGGGGCAGGTCTTGTTCAAAGTTCTACATTCTAAATCAAACACCTAGTAGAACTCGGCAAATTCTTTGAAAGCGATATTTTAAAATATATGGGAGGGAAAATGAACCACCATACTTGAAGCAACTACAAATTCTTCTGGCCTACATAGCAGCTTTAGATGTGACTTCTGTTGTGTTCCTGCATATATCCAAATGTAGTCTGAAAGAGAAATGGCTGTGGATGTAGATGTATACACATGTACATGTACACACCTGGGAGCAACATCTAAAGAAGCTGAGTTGAGAGGGGAACAGAACTGTAGAGAAAGCACTTCAAAAAGAGCTGCTTCATACATTACTAAACATTCCAAAGTATTTCTTCTGAAGAATTTGTAAAACCCTGATATATGTGATACCTCTAAGTGGCTTGCCATTGAATTGTTCAGACTGAGTTGACAGAGTTGTCAATGCCTGGAATGCACTACCTGACTCTGTGATTTCTTCCCCAAACCCTCAAAACTTTAACCTTAGACTACTACTGTAGACCTCATCCCATTCCTAAGAGGTCTGTAAGGGGCATGCATAAGTGCACCAGCGTGCCTACCGTCCCTGTCCTAATAGTTCCTTTTATTTGAATCCATTTTATGTATTCATAATTATGTTTACACTTGACTCTGTTATCAAATACATGCTTGACAAAATAAATAAAATAAATAAATAAAATAAATAAAATAAAATGAGAGATATTGAGTGGCCCAAAGTCAACCAGCTGACTTCATGCATAAGGCTGGACTAGAACTCACTGTGTTCCTGTTTCTAACTACTATACCAAACTGTCTCTCCCTTGATAACATAGGGACAGAATATCTGTGAGATCACCTGTCTCCAGTTACCTTTATCCATTATATATGATTTGACAAGATTGACATGTTCTAAGTCCCATCAACAAAACAATGTCTGACATCTCACTATGTCAATGTCCTCTTGTCTGTCATCACGTCTGGCCTTTGGATTTGCATTCTGCCTTAGAATTGTAGTCACGATCCTGTGGTTCTTTAGGAAGTCCCTAAAATCCTCATTCTTGCAGCAGGCACTGAAATGGGGCAAATTGCATTTTAATTTTTTTTATCTAACATAGTTGTAAATAATATAGATTATATAGATAAAGAAAATAATATAGTTAAATATCAATATTTGTGTGTTACATCTGTCATGTGTAACTAAAACCAATTATGTGCTGTTGCAGGTTTTCCATGGAAATGTGGATAATAATACACCTTATGCAAATTCTTTCACCCCGCCAATAAAATCTCAGTATATACGATTGTATCCTCAAGTCTGTAGAAGGCATTGTACTTTGCGAATGGAACTTCTTGGCTGTGAATTATCAGGTCAGTATTCGTAGATGTTTCTTTGTATTATTTTAAATATCTTTGTGTCTTATTATGAATTTATGTATGTCTATATAAATATGTCAAAAACTAATATATGTTTTCATCATTTATTTAACCTTTTTAAAAACATGTTTTTTTATAATTCTTCAATTTATCTGTTTTTCTGTTACTGGAGCACATCGTTCCTATTCCCCCCCCACATCCTTTATCCTCTTATTTCAGAGAACTAATTCTGAAGTGATCATATTTGTTTTAATACAAGAAATACAGTCAAATTCAAAATTAAACTTAAAGCAATAAAATAAGAAAGACTTAATATACCTCCAGAAAGAGCCAGTTTGACATAGTGGTTAAGTCATCAGACTAGAAACTGGGAGACTGTGAGTGCTAGTTCCGCCTTAAGTACTAGGTGGAACTGGATGACCTTGGGCCAGTTCCTTTTTCTCAGCCATAGCAATGAGGTAATGTCAAATCACATCTGAAAAACCTTACTGGAAGGACTTGTCCAGGAATTGGACACAGCTGAACAGAAGGGAAAATAAAATACAGCCAGCACTGAAAATGAAATAAAAACAAATAATTTGGCATTTATATCATAGTTTTCTGCTAATATATATTGGTCTATGAAGCTAACGAAGAATTAAAAACTAGTTTATGGAATTAATTAAAATGTAATTAAAAGAATCATTTTGTTTATAAAACAAAACAATAATGTTCAACAGTTGCTTTTGATGAGATTTGATCTGATTTTGTTTTCTTGTGTTGAGACAGCGTTCTCAGTAAAACTATGTACTTTAATAAACATGTGCATTGACACAATGTCAAAATGTACAGGTTACTCACCTATACAAGGTGAGTATTTCAAGGATCTTCTTTAATTTGTTTTAGGTTGTTCTGAACCTTTGGGGATGAAATCAGGACATATACAGGATTATCAGATCACTGCTTCCAGTATATTCAGAACACTCAACATGGATATGTTCACATGGGAACCCAGGAAAGCTCGACTAGACAAACAAGGCAAAGTTAATGCCTGGACATCAGGACACAGTGACCAGTCTCAGTGGCTACAGGTGATAATTTTGGCTTTTTGGTTTTATATGAAAGAGCAACAGATTAGATTAGATTAGATTAGATTAGATTAGATTAGATATTAGATTAGATTAGATTGATATTAAGGGGGGCAGATAAATTTATAGAGTTTACTATTTAAAAAAAAATATGTATACTGTATACTGAATTAAAAGAATTCCAAATAGTAATAGATATGATATAAGAGCCTATGATGATATGGACATAGGCTACATTATACCACATTACAAAAAAGATATTGAGACTTTGGAAAAAAACTGCAAAGAAGAGCAACTGAGATGATTAAAGGCTTGGAGACTAAAACACATGACAACCAGCTGCAAGATTTGGGTTTGTCTAATCTAGAAAAAAGGACTAGAGGGGACATGATAGCAGTATTCTAGTATTTGAAAGGCTGCCAGAAAGAGGAGGGGATCAATTTATTTTCCAAAGCACCAGAAGTCAGGACAAGAAAAAATGGATGGAAACTAATCAAGGAGAGAAGGACCCTAGAATAAAGGAGAAATTTCCTAACAGTGAGGACAATTAACCAGTGGAACACCTTGCTTTCAGGCATAGTGGGTGCTTCATCACTGGAACTTTTTAAGAAGAGACTGGACAGTCACTTGTTTAAAATGATATAGGGCCGTGATGGCGAACCTATGGCATGCGTGCCACAGATGGCACGTGGAGCCATATCAGTGGGCATGCAAGCATTTTCCTAGCTCAGCTCCAGTGCACATGTGCACACTGGCCAGCTGATTTTCGGGCCTTCCAGGCCACCGGAAGTCAGAAAACAGTCTGGTTTTGGCCTCCTGAGAGCCTCCAGGGGGGTGGGGAAGGCTGTTTTCGCCCTTCCCAGGTTCCAAGAAAGCCTGTGGGGCCTGGGGAGGGTGAAAAACAGGCCTACCGGGCCCACTGTGCCATCATGTGCCAAAAGTGGGGGAAGCGTGGGGGGGAGTCACGCATGCATGTGTGGGGAGGTGGGGGGGTGCATTGAATTATGGGTGTGGGCATGTGCACGTGTGACCCTCCCCCGCATTCCCCCTGCTTTTGGCACACAATGGCAAAAAGGTTAGCCATTACTGATATAGGGTCTCCTGCTTGACCAGGGGGCGGGACTAGAAGATCTCCAAGGTCCCTTTCAGCTCTATTCTGATTGGTAGGCTGTACTAAGTTTTCTCCATTGAAGAGGAATAACATCAAGCCTAAAGAACTAGTTGGAATGCCAACAATATTACCAAATATTTCTCTTTTTTATCGTTATATGTTCATTTGAACAAAAGACAATATAAACATTTCCAAGAATGGTACCATAAGGTTCTACTTATTTGCCTTTGAATAACAAACTCTGCTTAACATTTCCTTTGGAGGAAATTAAATGATAACATCCATTAGATGCCAATCCAATGGAGACATATTGTGAGACTGGTAAAAACAGATTTCATCAGCTTTATTTCTTCAAGACCCCCTCTATTCTCTTAGAAATGCTGCAGAGCAGATCAAGGAGCCATTCTGAAATAGGTAGACTCAAGTATCAGACCGAAACAATTTCCAGAAAAGAACTTTACTACAAAAACACCAGGGTTTCTATTTTCCGGTCTTTCTCTGCACTTTATCTGTTGTAAAAGGGTTCCAGTCTTTAGTGGAAATAAAGTTTATTTATTATTTATTTAAATGTATTGACTGCCCAATTCCAGTGGACTCTGAGTAGCACACAAAACTAGGAAAAATATAAAATATTTTTATATAAAAATATATAAAAACTAACAGTTAAAAGCACTGGCTTATGCAGACAGTCAGATCTAAAATAATGTAATGTAGCAAAAAAACAACAACAACAAAACAATAGAAGAGCTATTTTTAAGCTTACCTTAGGAGAGGTAAGCTGTCATTAACTCTGAAGGGATGTTCCAGATGGTGGAGCTGCAATAGAGAAGGTAGACTTGTTAGGTCCCACAAGACGGCACTGTTTCATGGAGAGGACCTGGAATGTTCCCAAGCTGCTGGAACATACTACATGGGCAGAAACAGTTGGAGAAGATAAGTGGTTTTTCAAGTAGGTGGACCCTGTGCCATACAGGGGTTATAGGTAATAACCAGCACCAGATGAGACACAATGTCTACCACTTCTTCCAGTTGATTATAAGTGTCTAAATTGAAATCCAATTCTTTATTTGCATTTCCATAGATCTGTTATCCATATGGAGGCAGTTATGTGGATAAATCTCTGTAAATCTGGGTACTTAAATTTAATTTGAGTAAGTGTATAATCAAGTTGATTGTGCTGTTAGAAGTCTATCTGAAATGAGCTGAATAATAGATAACCACAGATGCCATCTGGAAAGTTTTTCTAGCTGATTGGCTGGCTATGTCATATCATGTCACAGCAATGGAAGCATAGATTCCAATTTTAATTAAATATTTTTTGAAACACATGTACCAGATCAGATTTACTGAAGCAAACTGAATTATTCAGATGGAAATTCACAAGAGCCATAGAACTGTAATTTATTATTTGTCAGAGATTGACTACTTGGATTTGATTAACAGGTTTTCAAAAAAAAAAAAAAAACCCACCCTTATTCCATCTCCATATTATTTACTTGTTTATTTTTGATAGCAAATTCTTTCATTAGACTGGGTGATAAGGCTCTAGATCTATATTTCTCTACCATGTTTGGTTCCGGTAAGATTGATGCAGCACTGTGAAACTATTAAGAAGCTGTTCACATTGCTTGTTTTCAGAGATAGGATGATTTACAGAAGTTCCTGTATAGGCTAATATATAAAAGTGCAACAAATCACCATACAGAAGACTGTTTGACAGGTTACTGTTCAATTTACATATTAGGAACATTGTACATGGCAGTGATTTGAATCTGCTGTCGGGAGGGGAAAGGATGCTCAGCATGAAGTCTAACTGTACCAGAAATGTGCTACTAACCCCCTGCAATCATCTCACGTATAAATTATGACTTATTAACTTATTTTATTTTTTTTACCTGTGGTTGCTAAGCATTTCAACTTTATTACTGCCTTCGCTTTGAGTTTAGTAGAGAGAGAAGGGGAAAAAGAAGAACTAGCAATGCCGGTGTGTTTATTATTACAGATGGTGTGTTTAGATTCACACAAGTCATTGCCCTACAGATAACCAGGATGCTCCTGAACCAAATGAAAAGAGGCTGCTCATCTGCCTATAGGCTACCTTGTTTGGTCAACTGTGAAATGAAATCTGTAGAAGAAAGTGCATTGTACCTAGGCTAAAAACAAAGCATTTGTGAGAGAAATGAAAGAAACTGGTTCTGACTTGGAAAGCCATAAATAATTCGGGTGTAGTGAAGAAAAGTCTTTTGCTGCCACCATTCATTGGATTCACCTGAGAAAATTCAGCAATAGCTATTCTGAGCTCATCTTTCAGCAAGTAGGGGTCAAACCTTCTGGTAGCTATTCCCTTTCTTTAAAATGCATTTCCTGTTAAGTTGAGAGACCTGATGGTCCTTGCTTAACAACTGGTTCCTTAAAAGTCTGTAGAGATTCTCAGTCATCCAGGTCATGGTCATCCCAAAGGTGCTTTTTTCAGGAGGCAATTGGACTTTCTTTTTTTTCCTTTGAACATGTTTCACTTCTCATCTAAGAAGCTTCTTCAGCTCTGACAGTATAGTGGGGAATGGAAGGATTTATATTCCTTGCAGACAGATGGTAGTTTGCATCCTTTTATAGGCTCATTGAAGCATTTGGAGGTTTATCTATGTCCTCAGGATCACCTGAGTAGTGCTTCTGGTTCCTGTGGTCTGCAATTCCCCCCCCCACCCCAAATGGGATGAACATCCTTTGAATGATGTGAGAGTAGGAATGGATTTCCAGGGTGTGGGGAAGAAAAAAATGCAGACTACAGGCACCAGGAGCATTACTCAGGTGACCCTGAGGACACAGATAAACCTCCAAGTGCTTCAACAACCCTCTAAAACACGGATGTCAAACTCAATCTCATCACATGACATATCGTGATGCATCGTGACATTTTCTTTCTTTGCGGAGCCAGGGTAAGTGTGGCCTGTATATGACACATCCAAGGATGCAAACGACCAGCTGTCCACAAGGAATATACAGTAAATCCTTCCATTCCCCACTATACTGTCAGACCTGAAGAAGCTTCTTGGATGAGAAGTGAAATATCTTCAAAGAAAAAACGAGGAAGTCCAGTTGCCTCCTGAAAAAGCACCTTTGGGTCCTCTAAATGTTACTTATGGAGCCATCCCAGAGTACATTTCAGGCACTTGGCAATTGGCCCATCTTTATGACTGATAGCAGCATTCTATAGTCATGTGACTACAAATTATGACGTTCTTTTGCTGGTTTCCAGCCTTGTTGGCTAGTTTCTAGAAAAAATATAGCCATATAAATTCATTGACTTGCTTAACAGCCACCATAGTCACTTAATGACTGCCAGAAAAAGAAAGTCATAGAATTAGGTCCGCCCGTGTCAATGCTTTGACTCATGACTGACATGATTCACGATAGAAATTCCATCATGCTTGTAAGTCAAGGACTACCTGTACTCTTGTCAACAATTTTTTTAAAAGGCTCCTAAAATTTACCTGTTAAACAGGCGTTGGCATATTGATTTCATTTGTTGATTTTAATTGTTTTAGTTTTGGCTGCTTGCATAGTTTGCCTAGTGGTTAAAGACAGTTTGCCTAGTGATTAAAACACCAGGCAAGACACTCTCAGTTCTAATTCTGCTTTTACCACAAAGCCAACTGAGAAACTTTGGGTCAGTTGCTCTTTCTCAGTTCTAGTAAGCAACCATTGGCAGACCAGTTCTGAAAATTTTGCCAAGAAAACTGCAAGGACCTGACTAGCCAGTTGCCAGGAGTCAACTCTGGCACAAAAAGCAAATAAATGGTCACCCAGATTTTAATTTAGATTTTTCTTTTTAATCTTTTTCTCCTTAGCTACAACTGGGGGGAAAAATGTATAGGCCAATTAATGTGCAAAT